GTGTGGGTGGGGGTGAGGGGGTGTGGGTGAGTGTGGATGGGTGTGGATGGGTGAGTGGAGTGTGGACGGGTGGGTGTGCGTGTGCAAGTGTGTGGGTGTGTGAGGGCGTGGCTGAGTGTGGGTGGGTGTGGGCGTGGCTGAGTATGGGCGTGGCTGAGTGTGGGTGTGTGTGGATCTATGTGAATGCTTGTGGGTGTGTGTGCGTGGTCGGGAGGGGGGGTGATTTGCGGATTTGGAAAACTAGATTTTATTTAAGTTCGAGTTTGAAAGGATGATTAAGCAAATTTCTTTTAAAGGCAAGAGTGGTTTCGAGGCTAGCTCGAAGTTTGTTTGTGTTTGTAAGTTGTGCGTGTGAGTGAGTGTGTGTGTGTGAATGAGTGTGTGTGTGAGTGAGTGAGTTTGTGTGAGTGAGTGTGTGCATGAGTGAGTGTCTGTCTATTTATGTGCGTGTGTTTGAGTGTGTGTGTGTTGTTGTTTTTTTGTGTGTGGGTTCATGGGGTTTCATTACAAGGTATTGTCTGTGCCTTTGATATTGTGGTTAGCCAGACCAGTGTCTGTTGCGCAAACACTCTTCGTGTGGCCATGAAGACTGTGAATAAATATATTTCATGACTTCACCATGTCAATAAAAATGTCCATGTACCCTTGGGGTGTGTCGCGCCCCACAGTTTGAGCACCACGCTGTCAGGTAGAGATTTTTTTAAAACTTTCAATGATGATAGGCAGGAACACATTAATTATCTGCTAGCAGGTCTAGCCTATCGACATTGTAAAACACTGATAAGCTTAAGAAGCGCGTGTGGATATCAGTATAGTCGGGCTTTAATTTATCGCCAAGATACAAATGAATGTGTACATTTAAAAGGAGTTAACATTGTATATATATTTAATTTAAATTGATGCAGTTGTTTTTTCATTTGATTGACGGATGAAAGGCATGTAGCCGATACGTCTTAAAAATGTGTAATTTGTCCTTTGGTTAAAGCATGATTTGTACTGGTTATTACGCAAATGGTTTTCATGTGTTTAATCATCTTGTAATTAGTCACAGCCTAACCACCTTATAATAAGATTACGTAGCAAGGGTTGATCAGTCTAACCCCGCTATAATAAGATTATACGGGACACGGGTTAACCCTCGATCAGCAAACCTATGTACGTGTTAAACACTTAATTAATATGCATTAAAAACTTTCCTGGAATAATTTCAGGTACTCTTAAGACCTTAATGACGGGCTGTAATGCTAACAGTACCACGGCGTTGCTTGTGTTAAGTTTCAAGACAACGCAAGGAAAGTCCAGCGAGTGCATTGCTTTCTAATAAGATGAGAACCTTGTCTCATTGTGAATGAGACATGTAAACATATGTAACATTTATACATTGTCAATCGATTCATATGTTTGTTAATCATTTTGGAAAATGTGAATGAAATATAAAAGATCGAACCAATGTACATAACTACATCATATGCGCTGTAACTGAACGACACGATATTTGGTGTGATACCAATACACGAGTCATATTTGAAAATACAGAAATGTATCACGACGGCATAATATTTTTTACTTTATGATGTCTTGTTATTACATCATTCCTATTGTGTACATTGTACCCTAATTTATTCCACGGCAACCCTGAGCGTGTGTCTTACACGTATGTCTTACACACGTGTCGTAATGTGTGTCTCACACGTGTGTCTCACATGCGTATCTTACATGTGTGTCTTACATGTGTCTTATGTGTACTTTACATGTGTATCTTACATTGTTTATTACATGTGTGTCTTGTGTGTACCTTACATGCGTACCTTACATGTGTACCTTACATGTGCGGCTTACATGTATGTCTTACATGTGTGTCTTATGCGTACCTTACATGTGTATCTTACATTGTGTCTTACAAGTATCATTACTGTGTGGTCAAGCTTTGCTTTGAAATTTATGAAATAAAACAATTTTCAGAGGACGTGACTCTGCCCTGCTTTATTAATTTATTCACATTTGTGGTCACGTTATTCACATTTCAAATCACGTTATTGTGATTCATTGGTCACGCTAGTTACGTTTATCGTTCGCGTTATATGTTTACTTAAAAATCAATTTTTTTACGTTTAATGGTCACGGAATTACGTTTAGTGGTCACGTTATTTACATTGCAATCACGTTATTTACGTTTAGTGGTAACGTTATGTACATTGCAATCACGTTATTTACGTTTAGTGGTCACATTATTTACATTGCAATCACGTTATACATGTTTAGTGGTCAGTTGAATTCTATAATGTTTGCATTAAAAAATCAACTATGATTGTCGCCAGTCGAATTTATAACATTAATTTTCTTATAGGCAAATAAATTAACATTAACGAAACTTGAGAAAGTACTCTGAATTCAATTTTGATTAAAATGGGTTCAGACGTGTAGTAATCAAATTGATTTTTGACTAAAAGTTTTCGAAACAAATTGATACATTCTTTAGAAAAGGTAGAATAAAATTGATATTTTTATTAAAATTGTTATACTAAAATTAGAATATTGATTAGAAACATTTTAATCAAATTGATATATTGTTTATAATTGTTTGAATTAAAATGATACGTAGATTAGAAGGGCTAAAATCAAATTGATATAATGATTAGAAGTGTTGGAATCAATTTTCAATATGTTGGTTAAAAGTGTTCGAATCAAATTGATTTATTGATTAGAAGTGTTAGAATCAAATTGATATAAAAGTTTGAATTGTTAGATCTAAATTGACCTACTCATTAGAAGTGTTAGAATCAAATTGATCTATTTTTTATAAAAGTTATAGTAATCAAAGTAGCGGTCGAATCTTTATTTATTGTAATTTTGATGGAGTTATTCCGACTTCATGATTTTGTTTAAGTTTTGAAATGTTAGTTTTCCATTATTAGCTGACTTTTGACGATGGAATGAGAGTTTTGAAAAGGATTGCCATTAACTCAATTGACAAATATCCATGCTTGGTCTGCTGGCTTAGTTGAGGGGGTTGACGTCTGACTCCATTTCGATATCAAGAAAAGGGCAAAGGCTATGGGGTTGACTTCTCACACCATTGTGATTCAAGCAAAGGTCAACAGCTATGGCATGGACTGCTACACCATTACGATACAAGAATATGGCAGTGGCTACGGGTCGGACTCCTCACACCATTGTGATGCGAGAATATGGCAAAGGCTATAAAATGGACTTCTCACATCATTGAGATACACGAAAAGATCACGCCGTACGGGCTGGACTTGACGACCAGGTGAACTGATGGGCACGAAGCCATTCTGGTCAGTAATAGGACGGTGCCGGTGGTGACCTTATTCTTGACGCTCAGATTTGTTGAAAGAAAAAAAAAAGCAAAAAACTTCTTGATTCTCAATGAAAGTGGCTGGCAACTGTATAATTTTTTTTAGTATCGCTATCAAAATCCCACTAATGACACCCTTGCTTAAAATCTATTGCGCTTTGGTACGGTTGTGTCTGAATGCTCTCTGCATAGTTTGTTGGCGTTCAAAGGGTTTAAAGATTTTTCCTCTTTAAAATCACCCTTCTTAAAACTCAACCTGATGTACTTTACCACTTGATACAAAATGTCAGTTAAAATGATAAATACGTACTGAGTTTGCTCGTGAGACTTGTCACAAATTATTTTTATCATACTTTTTTTCTCTTTTTTTTTTTGTTAAGAAAACAAAATGTGGACTAAAGATGACTACAAAAAAAAAAAAAAAAAAAAAAAAAAAAAAAAAAAAAAAAAATCCAATAATCGAGCTGTGAATGGTAAATGAAAAAAATATTTAATCAATTTGGAATCAATACGTTTTAAAAATAACTTTAAAATAAGATAAGATAAGATCATTTCATTTATCAAAAAAAAAATGGATTTTTATTATTTAATTATGTTATTTGACATTAATTATTCAGTCCTAAAAATCTATCTTTTGCCTTAAAAATAGTCAATAGCAAGACATGCGTCGAATAATTATTATTCCTGAATGGAGGAGACAGATTTTAAAAAATAAATAAATAACTTTTTGTTTGTTTTACTTTCAAACATATTATTATATATTTACTAACAATTTTCGCTAGTCCCCCACACACCTATGTGCTGTTCCTGAACGGACAATGTATTTAACAAAAAATTAACGGCCTCTTCCAGTGACCTGTGATATAATGGTGTTATCCTGATGCCATGGAGTCTTACCTTCTGCCCGAAGACATGCGAGAATCGATTCAATGACAACGCCAAAAAAAAAAAAAAAAAATCGACATTGAATCTTGGACGAGCGTTAAAACTGTGTCATCGATCTATCGGGGAGTCGACGCTCAAACAGAGCTCCCCCTTGGGGGTGTTCAAATGTAAATGTTTCAAAGACAATGATTTGTGACCGTCTATCAGAACTGCGGAGTTTAATTTTAGAACACGTACTTGTTTAATAACGAGGGCTTCTGTGGACCAGTGTGAGTGAAGCAGAACATTGCAGAAACCAAGTTAAGTGGATTTAGATGCCTTAAAAAGCAAAGGAAATAGAACATTGCGGAGACCATGTGAAATGTATCTTAGATGCCTTAAAAAGCAAAGGAAATAGAACATTGCGGAGACCATGTGAAATGTATCTTAGATGCCTTAAAAAGCAAAGGAAATAGAACATTGCGGAGACCATGTGAAATGTATCTTAGATGCCTTAAAAAGCAAAGGAAATAGAACATTGAGGAGACCATGTAAAATGTATCTTAGATGCCTTAA